TAAAAGCAACACATGGAAATAAAAATACTTGTGTGAAAAGTTAAAGTAGTAGTAGTAGTAGTAGTTCTTTATTCATTTCATTTGTTACACAAATGAACAAAGTACAGAAAAACATGCAATCAAAATAAAATCAAATCAAATGAAAGGCAGCAGAAGAAGAATAAATCTTATAATATCTGCCCCCTTTTTTATACCCAAAATATGTTCAAAAGAAAAGTAAAAATACAACAAAAATCAAAACAACTTCAAACATTTAAAAGTGAATTAAAAATAAAAAGGACATCAACTCGCAAAAGGAGGAGGAGAGAATTCATTTATAGCTGCAGAGCAGGGTGGAGGATGGTTGTTTGATGTTAGTTAATGTTTTTTTGTTACATCCTACAGGCTCTGAGATGCAAAATCAAAACAAAACTAGGTTTTGGAAAAAGGTCAGTTGTGTGATTTGAACACTTTTTTTTATTCATTACACATCCGTCACGGTGGCGGGTGCATTGTTCAGATCTGCACACCACTTCATAATTTTTGGCCAGTGGCAGGTGCTAATTTCCATCCCTGCATACAATCAATTTTTTGTGTTCCAACATACTTGGAGGGAACTATCCATGTAGGTTAGTGTCAGACCAATAGTCACAAAGTTCAAGCTATTCAAAGAATAATTCTGTAAAAAACCTTTCAATTTCAACAACACTTGTTTCTGAATGTTCACCAATGGTCTTTGTGTGTTAATTTTAACCCCTGGCTTGTTACATAATCAGCAAAAGCAGGGATGTGGTCAAAAATGTGTCCCTGGGGTGCGGTGAGACCCAATTTTTTTCCGTTAACATGCTTTTTTGAAAGAGTGTATCCTAGGGTACATGACAATAGCAGAGAAGTTCAGACCCACCCAAGGCCATGGACTAAAATTATGAAAATTTTTTTATCCTCTGTTGGATTTGTGACATTTTGACCCCCTGAAGATACCCCTGAAGATACCATCACATGCCATCACATGTGTATTTGTTTAATGAAATGTCATGTAAATCAAGAGATAATGAATACAAATCTGTTGATACCTTATTTAGAAAATTTGGTTGGTTTATAGAAAAGTTATTTTGATGGTCACAATGGAAAAGGGGTGTGGTCAAAAAGAGGTCTCTGGGAGGCAGTGAGACCCAACTTTTTTATGTTAACATGCTTTTTTTTGAACGAGTGGACCTTAGGGTACATGAAAATACCAGAGAAGTTCAGTGGGGGGGTAACCCAACCTAGTCCATGGGCTATAACTTTTTTCTATTAAATCTGAATTTTTTGACCTCGGAAAAAAACAACTGAAATGATGTGATATAAAATGTATCATCATGGTAACCAGGAGGGGCATGGTCACGAAAACATATCTTGTCTGTAGACTAGACCGCCTCATTTCACAGCCGTTTATGCAGTCTATGGCCCACATTGACTGCGACCAACGTCGGCCGCAATGTTGACTGCAACCCATGTATTGAGACACAGCCAAAGTGTTTAAAAACATTCTATACATGCAGGGCTCTGGAGTGCGACCAATGTGGTCGCAAATGCGACCTGATTTCCCAATAGTGCGACCAAAAAAAATGTCCGGTGGCGCTGGTGCGACCAATCGTTCAGGGGGGAGGGGGAGAGGTTGCCTGCTGAAATTTATTTTTCCATGTTCCATTAAAAATAATCCAGCAGTATCAATGGTCGCCCGCCGACAGTCCCCATCTCTCCTAATAACACTGCGCTCTGCTCACACACGTTTGTTGTTCTATCCTCATGGGGACTTTGCATTGACTTCCATTTATTTCCCCGTCAATTCTATAGCCAACCATAAACTCCCAGGTAGGCTACACACCTGACCCAAACCCTAACCTCACCAGGCTGTGTGTACCGGGGAAATGGTCAATAATTGTACCCGCCATGAAGCAAAAACCTGTAAACACACACACACGRYCGCACGCATAGCGAAACAACCGTAGTTTTTTTTAAAGCCCAGATCGGAGTCTGAAAAACAGCTCTTTCTTGTTAGCTGGAGATGAAAACAAGATGTGGACGGTTGCTCGCTCTTAACTTTCTGAAGGACTGGTGTGGACATGTCCCCACCAACTTTGGCCGGACAGGGACAGTCCCCACCATTATTCGCACATCTTTTTTCCTTTGCGTGCATTTACATTTCCCGACAGTATGCAGCAGCAACTGCTGTGTGCACCTTTTTCCGGGAAAAAAAAGTAACTGCGCCGCTTCCTCCCTTCCGCCCCCTCCCCGCTCCTGCTAGTGCTTCTCATCCCGTACAGGAGCTACACATCCCCCCTCACCCTCTCCCTTCCTTCCTTTTCTCTGAACTTCAGAGTCGGAAGTGCAGACACACACAATCGTGCACGCAGATACACTCGCGCGCACGGGGGTGCTAGCTGCCTGCTGTAAAACAACATGGTGGTCAGAGCCTCAGAGCTACTGGAACAGGTAATGGTCTGATAACGTCCAGCTCTTTGAAAAATTTTCTTCTTTACAAAGGACCAAAATAAGTCAAAAAGTAGGACAGTTATTTTTCTTATGAAAAATTAGCTAGCTGGTAGTTAACTATCAGCTTAGCAATCATTTAGTGATGACATTATCTATTATTGAGGGTTTTTAATAAGTTAAACAGTATTTTAATGCTAAAATTTTGTCCAGGTCCACTCTGATGATATTTATTGATTCCCTGRTWTAATTTACATTCATAAGTCACAGATTATTTCTCTAATCTACTAGCTTCATAATTTACATGTTATTTACTTGAATTTTTAAAGCTGACTGAATTCACTAGGCAGTAAAAACACAATACTTAATCTATCTGATGTAGAGCTGGATAAAGAGAGTCAGAGGCAGCAGGTACAGAGGGTCTCAGGTAGGACAGAGTAGGACAGAGGGTCTCAGGTAGGACAGGGTGTCTCAGGTAGGACAGAGTGTCTACAACTAATTATTTTTGAGTTAATGTTGCCTTAATGAACAGTGAATAAAAAATAACCTGTAAAACTCTGATGTTAAATGCGACGTGGTTGAAAATTTGGGTGCACCCAA